TTGTTTATTGTTTATTTAAGTGTTGGAAAAGGAAAAGGCTTATGCTCATTGCAGTTTCTTTCTGCCGTCCGTCCAACTTTCTCCAAAATCATTTTTCGCATTTGAACGTATGAGCTTATCAAACGTTTCTAAGGAGGTGTTGGACTGCACACTTTTGAAAAAATTCGCAGCTGCTCCAGTCAGTGTTGATCTTGATCTGAGTGATGATGCCATCCTCTTCATCCACTCCTTCCGGATTAGATTTCCACTTTGGGTTCCGTATGACGTATCGTTCGACAACTGGCCATCTTCAGAAATCGGAGATTCGAATGTAAGCGCATCAGCAAAGTAGTTAGAGTCACACAAATTGCAGAAAAAATCTTTCGAGACTTCTATTTTCTTCTCTTCTTAAGGTTTCTCGTCGTAATTTCCTCTCAAAATCTTAAACTCTCCTTTTCGCATCTTTTCTTTTGTTTTTTTTTTCTGAACGAAACTCAAACTGTGAAACTCAATAAGTTCAACAGTGATGAAACTAATTATTGATTGATTTATTACTTTTTCAACTCCCATCTCTTGTCAACGGCACATTTCATTCGAGACTGCAAGAGAGAGAGACAGAGAGAGAGAGAGGGAATAAGGGAGAGAGAACTTCATTCTGTCTCATTTCACCTTCCACACGTTTCTCGTCAACTTACTTTCAAATTGAATAATTGAAAGTTTGCTTTGAACTTCTGCTTCCTTAACGTCTTCCTCTTTTCAACTTCCTTCTTCTATCGGAAGATCACAAGAATCAAATGAAGAGGTGTGTATGAGACATCAACTTGTTGAAGACACCTGTTGGTTTTGATGTCACAAATAGTCCAAACGATAACAAAACATATTTTCTGTGAAGCCTTGTTTAACACTTCATTCATCTTCTCACCTACGTATTATAACCATTCGCGCCAATTTTCAATTTCGCGTTTTGTACGCAAATGGTTGTTGAGAGTTGGAGCATGTTTGTAAATTTCTTTTCGAACATTTTTCTTCAATTATAATATTATATTTCTATTTTCTATCTTTTTGAATTAATTATAAACTGTCTTAACTACTCTTGGACGCTGTGCTTCATCAATCAATGAAATTAGAATACGCGCCATTTCCGTGGAAGCCGTGAACTCACGTGAACTGACGCTTTCATTTTTAAAATTCTTGGCGTGGCAACTGGTTGGTGAGTTGATTTATTATTTTTACCACTTCCGTTATCTTGTTTATTTGCTCTTGGTTTCCTGTTGGGATTGAATGTGATAACGTTTTACTTTCTACATGCAGCGTATTCGTATGTATTCAAACTGCTGCAACTTGCATATTCTCTGCTTGACCATGCACTTTTTTTATTTGAGCTTTTTTTTGAGCGAAGAAGTAAAGTTCAAAATAGTTGTCAACAGACGCTAGTATTGCAACTAGCTCTCGTAAAGATGGACCATGCCCCTGGGAGAATGGTCCATAGAGGGGCCTAGCTGGAAAGAGCAGAGGGTGATGGTTAGAAGTCTTGTAAAAATGAAATAATGCAGCAGCCCGAAATGGCTTTCTTGTTGCATTTTTCAAGAGAAATCTGACCATAAGAAATTCCGTAATTCATTTATATGATTATATCTATGAGATATATGCGCATAAGTTTACTTGAAATTGCCTTTCCATTCTTCATTTTTCGTATTTCATGAGCTTGATTAGCATTTATAGCGTTCGATAACATTAGATATGTCAAATGACATGTACAATCATTTTTATAATATATCTCCATAATTGCTATAAGTAGTCAGTTTCCTATCCTCATTACTATAAACTGGAGATGCTTATGTTGTGCTTAAGTCTTAAGTCTCATTGTGTTCCAACCATTCCCTGACTTTTTCTTCTGTTCGAGCTGCTGACTCTACACGAAGCTTGATTGCCGCATCGACAGCGGAACAGTATCCGGAATCTCAAATAATCTAAGCCTCCCTAATTCAGCTTTTTTCTATTGATTTGTCGTATAAACTATGGTTCAAGAGAATCGAGAACAGTAATAGTTTATGCATCTCAAATGGTTTGAATAATTCTAGAGAATGAGATTTATTTACTGCATTTGTTGTTTTCATTCGTTTCGTAGGTAATTAATACTTGATAAGTGATGTAGTCAGCTTAATCATAGTTTTCTCATTTCTTTTCAAAAAAACATGATTGAGGCTTACATCAGATAGTACCTCTGTGCAGTTCTTTTGCTATTCATTCTATCCTACTGTCGATGGAAGGAGCTGGATGGCTTCTGCTATCAGCTTCAATGGACTTCCCGGCTTTTTTTGTGTTTCGTCTTCTGTTTTATGTGAAGCAGCAACGTCTAAGAAATACAACGATTTCAAAATAGAATAGACGATTATTTTGTTCTATTCAAGTTTACAAAGCTTCTGCCAAACTCTGCCTACTGGCCGTATACTTCTTCCGCCGCAACATACAGCTCAATGATGCTTGAAGGCATCAAATGCTATCTGTTGTTCTTTTTATTCGATTCTTGCCCATTACTTTTCTATTTTGTATTGTTCCTCTTTTTATGCCATTTAAAAAAGAATCCTTTTCTTTTTTCTTTGTACCCTTCTTTCAGCATGTTATGCTGTTCCGCTGTCTATTCTTTTTTTCTTTTCCACTCTCAATGATAGCTTGTCCGCTTTCCATTTTCGTTCCTTATAGTTAAAGCTTTCCTTCTCTCACCCCCCGATATTCTGTCTTTGACATGACACTCTGATCAATTTTCATTTTTTTGAGTTTGCTTAGTGATCATCACGCACAATGTGAATATGAAAGCATTGGCCTGCAAGTGCTGTATTCCACAGCCTTTTTCATCTGATCACAATAGTTTGGAGGTTACATCCCTATTATTACTTACTATGTGAACCTAACGGCCTATCCATCCAACTCAATCAACCTAGCTTATTGAATGTTTTGAAGGACTTTCTAAAATGATAATGCTTGACAAGGTAGATTGTTTATTTGATAGGTCGTTGTTAATTTGTTCATGTCTCTATATCTTCTCTTGAACAGGCACTTCCAACTCTGTGGGTGGTCTTTTGCTATTACATAAAGTCAGAACTTCTTTTACTTTAGAGCAGGAAACACCTGCAGAGAAGTTAATAGGAGACATTTGTATAATTTTGGAGTAGTTTTCTAGCAGCTTATCCTATGTATGAAAATCATGATCATGTCTACTCCATTCCAATGGATGGAAGCATGCATGATGGAAGACGTTTTCATTTATCCTCAATTCTAAGATCAACGCACCTGGCACTCAGCGATGGATCATTCTCTTGTTCGGGTTTGAGATGGAAGTGCTGGCTGGAAGTAGACGAGCATAAGTTTTCATAAAACATCACAATGTATGGTTGGGTGCTTCTTTGAGCATCGATTGTTGACCAGCCACGCCTTCTACCACACCATCTTATTCTCTCTATCTCTCTTTTTATTTCCCTCTCTCTTCTTGTCTTTTTTTCCTCATCTTCCTTTCTCTTTCAAGCGAATGAGCCTGACGGAACCAGAGACAAGACTTCGAGGCGTGGTTGGGTAGTGAAGCTGTTGACACACACTCTTTCGTTCTAAGCCTAAGCTTTGACTGCTGCTGCTGCTACTGCTGGTGGTGGTGGCGCTGTTGCTGGCATCTCTTTTCTTCTTTCTTTTCGGTCTACTGTTCAATGACTGCTTTACTCTTAAAATTCTTTCTTTTACTCTATCTCTTTCATTCTCTCATATTACCCCTCTCTTTTATCCCTTCTTACTGGCTGGAAAGACACAGAGAGAAGGAGCTTTTAGTTTGTCGGTTGTTTCTCTTTGACGTTCTCTCTAATCTATCTGCGCTATTTCATTATTCCTTCTGCTTCTCTGCGTCTTAGATCCATTTTGCAGTTTTCTCATGTCACGGCTCCCTCTCGTTGTCCTCTGTTGGTCGGCCGGCCGGTTGGGAAGCCCTCCTCCTCTCCCCTAGGCCTTTCCCACCAGCACAGCTCTAAGCTAAGCAGCCTCATAGTTAGGAGGAGGACAGACGGACGCATCGACAGGCTGACCAACCGAAGAACCGCCTGAAGGGATTGAACTCTTCCTTCCGTCTATCACTCTTATCTAGCCCACCCCTCTGCCTCTTCATATCATCTGGACTCTCTTCATTTTCATATATCTCTCTCTTCTCCTCCAGGATCTCATTTTTTTTGCTTTTTACTGCCCATCTCGTTCACCCTCTAAGTTATTTTCCTCCAACTTTGCCGACTCTTACTCTTCCCGCCCAGAACACTGGCTACTCGTCTCTCTTGCTTTCTCGTGTTTTGAAGTCATCTTCGTTTGTCGTTTCAAGACTTTATCCGGTTCATGATACCATTTTTCACATCTATATATATACATATAGACAGATATCTAACCATAAATATATCTTAAGCCTCAAAAAAGCTCGTTAATGATAGTCTATCTTGGGTTCGATGTTTGTGACTTCCGTAAAAGCGATTAAAATTTGAAATCGTTCATATTCATTCTTTCCATATTTTTGTTTTGACCGACAACTTATTGTGTATCTGATTTATTATGGATACGGAGTATTTGTCATTTTCATTGTACTTGTTTCGTTGAGTCAATCATGTTGTGTTTTCCTTTAAATCTCACTGCCCCCCCTCCTTCTCTCTCACCCCGTATCAACTATTCAGTTGAAGCGTTTTTTCGTTTTTTTTCTTTTCTCGTCTTCGTTCGTCAATTTTAAGTTCTTAACATATTTTTTATTACATACTATTGCTATTCGTGAATTTATTATTTATTCGTATAATTATGGCTTATGTTTGACGTTCTGTAATTTATAGGTTCATGGACTGTCAACGTCCAATAGTCGACTGGCATTAAATTTACATCAACATCTAGTAAGAGCCAAGTTATTGTGCTCAATCTCGTACACAGTCGCACCTCAAAGCTTATTTTTCAATTCAACTGTCATTGTCAACATTTTCAACTCCAACTCTAACTGAGCACGACGATATGCCATGGACTGTGGTCTGTGGTGCGTCTTCAGCGAGCGACGACGACACGTTGAACGTCTCTGGCGGCGACGTTTACTCGTCACTAGCGATGAACGCCGAGCTCGACGCAGGTTAGTTCATCTATAATTTAATTTTACTTTCAACATTTCACTTCGTTGCTTTGTCCACCAATCAATACCTTATTCATTTCTTTAAACATTCTGCCCTCTCTAGGTTTTAAGGCAAAGTTTGTCGAGTAGGAAGTATGCTCACGTAATTGTCCGTGAAAACAATGCTGCAAAAAAAGAAAGGTGAAATAGACTTTTGCTAGCAATTGTCTCACTTGATAGCTTATACGAGACAAGGGAGTTTCAGCTAAATTGAACTTTAGCTGTATTTCTGCATGTTCCAATAGAGTTCCTATTTCCAGCGATTTGTTCAAACGCTTCTGACACTGCCTCTAGGCCTTACTTAATCTTTTCAATTGTCATTTTGCTTTTCGAGTTTATTGCTTCATTCACAATAAGGTTATCAAGCAATTTTTTTGATTAAAGTCGCAATTGAAGTTGCAGCTTGGTGAATGTCTTTTATGGCTTAATAGGGAACATTCTTTTCATCTTAGAAAGCGATTAAATATGCTCTCTTTCTCTCTCTCAACTCTTCATGCTCTACTTTTGTCTCAAAAAACAGCTTCAACTACTCAGCTTGGCTGGCGATGATGTGATTTGGACATAAGTCATAGAAGAAGACGATTCTATTCTTTTTTTTTCCTTTTCTGGCCCATCTGTGTATTTGTCTGTTCAACTGGCATCGCTTTGATTAATTCTTGCTCTCCGCATACCCGTTTCTTTCCTCATTCCCTTCTTCTCTCTGCCTTTTTCCACTATCCATTTCTCTTTAGATTCTTGTCTCTCTAGTCTAGAGTGTTGGTAGAGTAGATGATTTGAATCTACTAAGAAGATAGATAGAGAGAGAGAGGGAAAAAGTTAAAACATAAAAGGAGAATATTTAACCTTCAAAATATAGTAGCTGACTAGAGCTGGAAGTAAGCACACAAGCACAATGGCATTTGTGTGGTGTTGAGCTGGCTCTTCATGAGCATCATCTGTCTGTGTGTTTTCAGTTAGTTCTTGTAAGTAAGACGGGATTTTAACACTCGCATAGATGATTATAATGGATGGGAAAGAGCTCTAAATATCTTTATTTCTGTATGTAATCATGTCAGATGCTCCGTTTGCGTGGGTCCATGTGAGAATATGCACCAAGTTTCATTTTTTTTGTTCTCATTTGTGACGTAAACAATGAGGAAATAGTAGATGTGTGCAACCCGCATGATTTCCACCAAATATGCCTTCTTTATGTTCATGCTTTTCTTTTTCTTTTTGTTAGCTCTTTCATAGTTGCTGAGGATGAAGAAGGAATTCCTTTATGTCAAGCTATGTGCTACTATATTGATTGGAATCACATATTTCATATTGATTGTACATTGATGGCATCAAGTGGCATTGATAGAGAGAGAGAGAGAAAAAGAAAAAGAGAGAGAAGCTTGCGCACTTTGGTTTCATAAGCTTTATCTTGCTCTTCTTAATTTCTTTTTCAAACATGCTTGCATGAAATCGTTTTCTCCATTTCCCTTTATTCTGAATTTGGCTCGCTATCGTTCGAAACTCCCTAATTGGAGCACTTGTTCTGTGTGAAAACTTAATAAAATCTGTTTGAAATCGGATGCTGAGGTTCCAGCTATGTAGTATAAGAGCAGAAGGGAAACCATTTGCTGACCAGTTCAGTTTCATACATGATTCACACGTACACCAAATTGAGTTATATCGCTCTGATGACAGGGATCTGATAGTCGTTGTCAAATTGCAGTCTGAGAATATGAGCTTGAATCTGTCGTCGCAAAAATTCTTTCTTTAAAACCTCACATTTATTGAGTTCATAAAAAAAGAATAAAAAGCTTGAAGGTACTTTACGTAAAGTATCCATGAAATACATTTCGAAATGTTTATGCTTACGAGCATCAGATGAATGAAACATGTAGTTGTCACATGTGCTATTACGTTTTATTTTTTCATCTTCTGAACTATAGTGTCTATGGCAAAGGCTGCGAGGGAGGAGAAGGAGGGATAAGGGAGGAGAAGGGGGGGGGGGGGTTGTATTAACCATTATGCTTGATTGATATTTCATTCTTGGAGCGTTTAAGTGTTCCACGAGACAGTAGTACAACTTCCGTCTGTTCTATATATGGTTTTATATTAAACATTGTATTATATACTTATGTGATGCAACATCCAGACAAATTATATTATTGTGTTGTCCTGGCTGTTGAGTGAAGTTGAGTTCAGTGATGAGTTTATATGGTCACGCAATCATCGGAACCGGAATCTGATTGGACTGAATGAAACGCTGTAACAATGTAAATAAACAACGAGATGCGTTTTAATGAGTATCCACTTGTCTATTACATATAATTAATAACATTGATTATCAGGTGATAGAAAGCAGCGTTAGGATTGTAAGCTTCATTCTTAACACTTATGAGCTTAGCTTTGCTTTTTTCGACAAGCTTTTGCTCTCTAGTGTAGCAACTAATTTTTCATCTATCATCTAAGTGAAAAGAAAATTGATTTTTTCTTTTCTTAAGATTATATGTATATAAACGACAGTTAGATGTGTCATGTTTCACTTCCTGTCAAGCTATGCTTGTGCTAGCTGGATTTGAGAAAAGCCAAATACACAAGCTACTCTCTGCCACTTCTCTTCCTCCACCCTCTTTCCTCTTCTCCCCCCCCCCCTCTCCCCTCTTCTCCGTCTGGACAATGACTTCTGCTTCTGCTCCTCCGGATGATGGGCTATTACATAAACATTACCAGCAATAACGAATGCAAAAAACTGAATGCTTAGGGCTCTGCACGTTACAGAACGAATACAAATTTTTCTGTTATGTCATGGCTGAAACTAATTATTTCTATGAGCTTCTAATGTTTTTATTCTTCCTGTTTCCGGCTCATTTGTCACTGTCATCATCATCATGTCCATATATACCTGTATTTCATTGAGAAGAGAGAAAAATTTATATTTTTCTGTGATGTTGATGAGTTGGTAGGAAGAAGGAGGGAGGTTGGGAGAGAGGATAGGAAGGGAATGGGTGGTATATAGCTCAATGACAAACATTGTCTTTCTGCTGTTTTCAATTAAAACATAATTAAAGATGTTAAGAATAAGCGGGTGATAGATGACTACTACGAACAGATTGACGAAGAATGAAAGCAGAAAGCTCTTCTATGTGTCAGAATAGCAATTGGCACTAATTGACATAACACCACCCCGACACAAAAAAACCTTTGGGGAATATATATATATATATCTATCTATCTAACTATAAATATATATATAATAACATATATCATGGAATTGTTCGAGATTTTAATGGATGCTAAGAAAAAAACTTCCTATTTAAATTAGTAATGGTGGATATGTTTTCTGCAGACGACTTTGAAAGATTTTATATATGCACATATTGGGGGCTTGGAGCAAACTCAAAATTAATGTTCTCACGGGAATTGTTCCTAGTCTCTCTCTCTCTCTTTCTATCTCTCTTTTTTGAACTCTCTGCGTTAGCTAGCACTCTCTTACAATCTCTTTCATTAAGATACTGCCTAAGGCTTTTCCTTTTTTTTTCTGAAATAACTTTGTGTGGAACAAAACGCTTGGCCATTTCATGTAATCATCGCGAATATCTTTTTTTGTTTGTTTGAAGCAAATGGATATTCATCATCAACTTGTTCCATCGTTTCGAGACTGAATAGATTGATGTTGGAATCAGTGTGTACTTGTAAAGCTGTAGCATTGAGGTTTAAAATATATTTTAATGTATATAGAGAAGGAAGCTTAGAGAGAAGTTTTTATTGAAGAAACTCTGTCAGACTACTTATATAAAGCAATTTGGATGCTATTGTCCTATGGACCCAACTGACCCATTCTATATGTCCATTTTCCATTTGATTTTACTTGTTTCATAGATGTTACTTCCTCACTTTGCTCTTTTCATTATATAACAATGACGGTTCATTGATTCTGTTATCTAAAAATACTTTTCAAACATGAGAACAAACTTTGAGGGATTATTCAATTTATAAAATATTGTTTTCTTACAGATTTCTACGTTTAATGCGTGGCTTCGATGCCGAAGACGTCGAAGTCATTCGTAAAGCTGTTGAATCAGGCGGTGTAATTGCTAAGGTAAGCCTTCTTATAATGCAAGCTATCTATGTTCTTGTTCTAGGCATGTGCTCCAGGACCACCTATGGACGAACGACCGGACGATGATATGCCAGAAGAAGATTCTGGCTTGATTCCTCAAATCGATCGTCCTATGAGCATGCCTTATCTCTGTTGCAAGCTATGGCGATGGAAAGATCTTCAGGTAATATTTCAATTCATTATATAAATGGGAGATGGCTCTTTCTATCATTAGTTAATACACATAGAGTAGCACTAGTCTTTTCATGAAATCATTTTTGCACTAGAACATTCATAACAGATTCAGTCTTGAGCAAAAGCAAATTCTTCGTGATTGCTCAGTGTTTTTTTTCGTCGCCTCATTCTATTTCATTTTCTTATACGTTGGTCTTCAGTTTCATATTTGGAACAATGATGTCTCATTGTTTCATGAAGAGAAATAGAAAGAGAAAGCCATAATGTGCATGAAACTGTTTTTAAAATATTTTTCCAACTTTTGCTGCTAACTCAACCGTCGCTTAATGTAGTTATGACTTCCATATAGTGAATACGAATCAACAGAGCTATAACGTATGCTGAACTATTGATGAAATGTTCAAATATCATTATATGCACTGCTGACGAGTTAAGAGCTTCATAGTCCATCTGTCTTTTCATTTTTCGTAGCAGCAGCATTTTTCCAAAAAAACAAGAAAAGTGAAGAGATGAAGATCGCTGTTGGGGTGTCAAATAATGTAAAAGTGAGTGCTCAAGGTACTCATGATTGATTATGATAACGCCTTCGTTCGCAAAATCTGTTTTTTTCCTGACGTCTCAGACTCTTTCTGTTCTTTACTAGGATGTCTGAAGAAGAGTTTTCGAATGATAAAATGACAAAGGGATATTGCAAGAAAAAGCATCAATTACAATGTGAGAGAAGAAACAAATAATGCGAGGGTGGATAAACGATAATCATGATCTTCTATGCTATTCTTGGGATTTTGATAACAAATTGCTTTAATATCATTATGATTTTGATGTTTTTCAGGTTGACGCAGCTTTGCATCGACTTGAAGCCTTACCCTGGTGCCGCTTCGGTCGCGTCACGATCAACAATGCGACTGTATCTTGCTGCAACCCATACCATTATGCTTTATGGATTCGACCAGAGACAAGCTGTGCAGACGATGAATCTTCCGTTGACGATTTAGTTGTTGGAGGTCCTCATTCTTCTGCTTACCATACAACAACTACGACTCTCCCTTCGATGACTTCAACAGCAGCTCGAAGACGGAGTCAAGCTCATGCTAGTACGTTAACAACAAATCCTCTGAGCAACGGTCATCTGCAGTATCGAACACATATGGGTAAGATCAGTTTACCTAGCATTTGTATTCATCCTTTTTTTTCAGCATCCACCATGCATTATCATCAACGACCTACTGATATAGACATTCAGCCTCTCACTGTTACCAATTCAATTGGGAATGCTAATGAGCTGCCTGATCATGCCCCACCATCAGTACCAGCATCTACTCCTCCTGAACCTCCTGATTCGCCTCCTTGCTCTAGCAATCGCTCATCTCCTTCGCATAATTTTCTACATCAACAGAGCTCTGGTGAGTCATGCTACTCTTTTTTAATCTGTACTATATTGATATTATTCTTTCGCCTTATAAGCTTCCGAAAATATTTTTTCCATCCACAGAATGGTTGCATTCCTCTCCAACACCTTACCCACAGAGTGGTTGCATTCCTCTCCAACACCTTACCCACAGATTGGTTGCATTCCTCACCAACACCTTACCCACAGAATGGTTGCATTACTTGTGATATCCTTACTCGTAAACGGCTCCAGTCGTTCCCTTCATCCATAGCTGTTTGCATTTGTTTCATGAGAATTATGAAATGCTAACATTTAGTTCATATGTCCGTTCAGTATTCTCATGTTCGATACTCTGTCAGAGATCTTCGAAAGCAACCTTTTTTAAATGTTTTATACCTTCGTTCTGTCAAAGTTGTGACGTGTGCAAAAAGTTTTTGCATTCCAAGCGAGCTTCAAATGCTTACATGCGATCCCATTGATATATATCTGCAGAACAGTTGTAATTTATAGATAATATAATTTTCTGACAACAAACATTCAACTTTACTTCCGTTGTTTTCAGCTTGGGGCCGTTTAACACGCTATGAACGAAAAGAAAAAGTTGCCGAAACTGTACAGCTTACGGGTCAATTTGCTGCGGTTGGCATCTTGTCAAACTCAGGTGTGTTTAGACGTATACCTCCTTTATCAAGTTCTCTTAATTTCAGTACACGATGCTCAAGCTATTTGTAGTGATTGGGATACGCGAAATGAAGTTTCGTTCGCCTTAATAAGGCAAGCAGAACCTTTAGGGTCGGACGGGCCGGAAGATGTTTGGTTGTACAATAGGTGAGTGGTAACAACAGAGCAGTTCTTAAATAAGTTTTTCTTTCCAGTGGTACTCGACCGTTGTTCATATGCGTTACACCATCTCCTTCTTCGCGTGCTGATACATTACGTAGGCTATCACCTGGATATTGCATTCGGGTTCATCGTGGTGAGCCATCTTCTTCTGCTCCAGCTAGTGAACGAACGCATCATCATCATCGAAGACATAGTCGGGTATGTTAACAATCCTCTAATAACATTGAAACATATATATATATTATAGGATCCAGCATTACTTCACGGTAACCTTATTATATCAGTTGGTAAAGGATGGGGTCCTAACTATAGTAGGCTCTATGTAACGGATATACCATGTCGTTACGAAATAACCTTTATTAGTTAGAATGATAGTTTCATTATGAAATCTATCATATCTTCATATACCGATGCTGTTGTTGTTTCTCTTATTACATGATTATTTTACGAGCATTTATTACATTGAATGCCATTAATCTTGTTGTCACTTTTTAGTTTTCTTAACGTCTTTTAGGGCTATTTCACTCATCTCTCATATATATATATATAACTCTAATAATAATAATAATAATTAATAATTATATTATAAAAAATATATATATATTAACAAAATATATTTATATTATGAAGATCCGATTTGCATCTGTGATATAATGTGCCACAGCAATGTATTTCCGTTTTAATTGTATTCTGCCCGTTCTTCTAACCAAATCCTTCATACCCCTTCCCCACCCTTTCTCTCTTACGAGCTTTATCCTTCTTATATCATTATGGAAGTTGTTTGAACAGATATTCTTCTTTCAATACTTCAGTCAAATGGTAACGGTTGTTTGAAGCTGATTCATTTATACGTATATATTCGTCATGTTAAACAATCATCCTTCTTTATACTTTCATTGTATCTTAGCTAATACGCCAAACGTTGACATCTTGCCTTTCTCTCTTTTGTGAACTTATATTATATTATATATATATAGTTAGGTTTTGTTTATATTCGTAGATTATACTACTTACCTTCTCAGCTTTACTCCTTCCGACCGATATTCCTTGGCCATTTTCGTGTGATATCATTGCTTTTCTTTCCGTTTTTGATTTTATATTTCCGGAACAAATTCTATTACTATGGTCTCACGCTCATTTTTTGTTTTCTACTTTCACCACACCAGAGAAGAACTGATGTTAGCCTACTCTGTTTGTAGTATGAATGTTTTATATGCATTAATTACATCATCTGTATGGTGACACGTCATTTTTATACAATACGCTCATTAGTTATTATGATTTGTTTGTATTTATCAAATAGCATAACAATCTAGTTCGGTTTATACAATTTCAAAGTTTTTTTTATTTTTCTTTTCAAACAAAACTGCAAAAAGTTGTTTCTATTGATTCAGAAAGTAAACTATTGTTTGTCAATAAATTATACCTAATAGGACTAACAGAAGGTAATTATGGCCTGATGAGATAAGATATCCACATCAGAAGCTACTAACTGCCGTCGCATTCAAATCGTGTTTGATATTCCTCAATGGTTGTGTTCTTCATCATGATCTATCGCATAAGACGTACTCCTTAAAACACTGCGTCGTGACGTTTGATTTCAGCACCGTTCTAAGCGATTAACTAGAATGCAACCGTTCTGGACGGTGAGGGAGTAGAATGCAACCGTTCTGGACGG